AAATTACAAAGGCCCAATCTCGGAGCCCAGATAGCATACAAGCCCAACAACAATTGACCCGACCCAAGCCCAATATGTGATAACCCAGTAATTTTAGGGTTTTTGAAACCCTAAACCAAAGCTCAGCCGTTTAGCCTTCCAGCTCCCAACCGTCGCCTCTTCAGCAGACGCCGCCATTAATACCAGCTCAAGCCGAGCCTTTCCTCGTCGCCGTTAACATCCCTTAAACCTACACTAACAGTGATAACATCCATCCAACAGTGACCTATTCTACTCCCATCAGTCAAAAAAAACAAACAGAGAAGAAAAATCTCACCAAATCACAAAGATATCTCGATGAAATCGGGCTACGACAAAGGCTCAAATCCATCAATCACCAAGTCATCTCATGCATCAAAATAAAAATAGAGGAGAATGAAGAAACAGAGGGAGATATTAGGGGAACCCATTCGGAAAAAAGAGAAGAAATCTCAAAATAAAAGAGAGATAGAGTGAGAAGCTTACCCTTTTTCGACCATCGTCGCTGCTTCACCAGAACTAAGAGGCACGTTCGATTCAGAAGGTAACCCCTTTATCTTTTGGGGTTTGGTTTTCGTCAAATGAAAAACCTTTGGGGCTTTAGATAACTAAGAGATGTCTTTTGGGTAGTTATTTTAAGCGTCGGCCGCCGTGCTCGGCTGAGAGAGTGTAAGGAAAATGGTTTAGGGTTTAATTAAAACCCTTAAATGGGGTATATAACTCACTCACAAAACGCAACCGTTTTGCCTCCCCAACCCCCATCCGTGTTTTCGAGTTATGGGATAAATACACTTTTAATCCCTGTGGCTTTGTAAACTCACGTGTGTTCTTCAAGGTTTGGGGGTAAATCATAGCTTAGGTCCCTCTAGCCTTGTAATATTTATTTTTTTGGCTATTTAATGAAATTTCATCTTTTTATTTAGAGCTGTGTATATGTTATATATTTCATTTTAGTCCTATATGTATTAATATATTATATGTTTAAATATTTTGATTTTGATTGTTATTTTGGTAGTGATCGTTTTGGTTATCATTTAATGTTTCCGTTTACTTCATTTTTGCTTCAATATTTATTTTTATGTCGTTTTAATCACTATTTGTTTATTAATGGATTTAGGGTGAATACTTTGTTTTGAGTTATGATTTAGGATTAAGTTCATTTTAGTCACTTATTACATGTGTTGTGTATTTTCTTTGATGTTCAAATTTGGCCACATTATTTGTGAAATTTTTATTTTGGTCACTGTTTGTTATTTTGTGTTAAATCCTGAATGCAACATGTATGTTTACTTTTATTTCATTTTAGTCCTTTATCATAATTTATGGGTTATTTCCATTTATGTACTTGTTTTATTTAACATTTTTTAATTGGGCTCTGATTTATTTGTAATTATTGTTGTAGTCCCTAAGTTTCTATTTGTTTCATTTAGTCATATAAATTTATGTTTATTCTATTTCAGTCCTTTAACTTTCTATTTTTTCTATTTTAGCCCTATAAGTTTCTGTTTTATCTATTTTGGTCCCTAAAGTTTCTCTTTTATATATTTTGGTCCCTAAAGTTCATGTTTTTTTATTTTAGCCCCTAAAGTTTCTATTTTCGCTATTTTGGCTCTTCAATTTTTGTTTTTACTTTTTTAGCCATTTATGTTTATGTTTTTCCATTTTAGTCCTTAAAGCCCTGTTTGTACTATTTTGGATCTTTGAATTTATATTTTTCCTATTTTGGTCCTTATAATTTCAAGTATTACTTTTTGGTCATTATATTTCGGTTTGTAATATTAAGTTGTTTTTATACATTATGTGTGTACATTTTATATTTTATGTATTTTCTTGTGTCACATGTAAATATGTTTATCTTTATTTATTGTAAATATTTTTATGTTTCAAATTGTTATTGTGTATATTGTATTCCCTTAAATATTAATATTACTCTAATATGTTTCAAGAACGATATTTATAGAACGGGCGTGGAAAGTACCACTTGATCAAAGTGATACAATCCAATACGACATTCAAACAAATACGAACTTTAAATAAATCAATTTTATTTTACTAATTAATTTATTTTAATGATGCAATGTGTGTTTTTAATTATTCACAATTTATTTCATTTTATGCGAATGCAAATTTCATATCTTCATTTATATTCAATTCATATTTTTTAATCAATGAGGATGAAATATTCTTTAACAATGAAAAATAGTTGAAATAGATTTCCCAACGGAGGATTGTTAATTTCAAGATTTTTTTATCAAGTTAAAGGATTTTCTTCAATTTATTAATTTTGAAGTAAATTAATTATATTTCAATAAATGGATCATAATTTAACTTTATATTCGATTTATAATTTCCACCATTACGACAACGTGTAAACGACACAGTACTAATTTTGGGCACTGTGGGGGTGCTTATCCTTCCCCACGCGTAACCGACTCCCGAACCGTTTTTAATCGAATCTTTGGTAAACAAAAACCATTTTTGTCTTAAAAAATGATTTTTCTTAAAATTGTTTTAAAAGACGTTTTTAGGTATTCGACCTACCTAACCCAAAGGTCGATGGCGACTCCTTTTAATTTAATTTCAAATTAATTCCAAATCACCAATTTTTTCAAAATAAAGTCATAATCGTTTTTTAAAATAATATTTAATTGTTTTACCTAAAAATAGTTATGACATCGTCTTCATGAACAGTTAGAGGTTTTAACAATGTCCTTTGCTTCTTTTTCATTTTCATGGTGTATCTTGCCATGATTTCTGTTCTGAGTGCAGTAACTTAGGCAGACAAGCACAAATATTTGTTTAGCTATTTGGTGGCATCATGCTCTTCATCACCATAAAATTGAAGTTTGTTTCTTTTTCGTGCTCAGATTCAGCGAAATCTGCAGTTGCGAATTGAAGAACAAGGAAGGCAGCTGAAGATGATGATTGATGAGCAACAAAGAACAAATGAAAGCATTCTAAAAAAGCAAGTCACTCCATTTGATAATGATCCATCACTTAGCTTGGAAGATGCTGAAGCTTCGATTGCAGAGAGTTCAGGGACTTCTTACATTCCATCCAAGATATCAAGTTAGAGCTTAGGAACTCATGTCAAAAGATGACCCATTTAAATAAAACAAAAACAAAAAAATTCCCCAATTCCTCCACATAGAAATACAACTTTGTTCAATCATATGAGCTTGGGGTTGCGAATATTAATTGAACTATTTATGCACATCAAGCTCTTATAACAATGTCTGGTTCTAAACGTTATAGACTGATCAATGGAATTCTTTTTAGCCCTTTTTGACAGCAACTTTCCTTGCAATATTTGTGTTCAATCACACGTGAGAAAGTAGATTTTGAAAATTTAACATTTTTTCATAACCACTTAATATTTGATTCACATACTGATGACACTTGACTATGTTTCTTGTACAAAGTAAAAGCTTCACCTTGCCTGCAATCGTACATAGTAAAGAGAATCCGGTCTTCTTCAACTACCATTATCATATATGGCCAGAATCATTTTGCATCAGGTAATAAAGTTAAAGTTCTAGATTCTGGTTCCTACTTTATGGTTTCTTTTCTTTATTTTAGGCTCAGAATACAGACATCCATCCACATGCATTTCTTATTATAACCATTGACTTCAAAGTGAGGCCATCATGATACTGATTACTCCAACCAGCTGTAACTATTTATTTCAGTGTGCAATTCTTTAAGATGGAAAATTTATGTCAACTTTGTGTAGGACTAGCAAACTTGTAAGCAAAGGGCCTAAGAATTTATGTGGATCTTGTGTTTAATTGTTGAAGTGCTTCTGATTCTACATATTTGTATGAAGAGTTCAGCCCTTACAGCTACTGGAATGCCATATTATAATAGTCCCTAGTAATTTCTTGAACCATGAGAATTTATGGTGCACATTAGAATTTGGATTATCAGTGCACATCAAGAACCTTCCTTTAGCTGTCGACATGGTACGGTCGGAATCAAGAAAGTCAAGGCCGGCCAGGGAGTAATCTCGAAACTTCATATCAACCCCTCGGAGTATAACAAAGTGAGCTTCGAAGCGCAGCTGATAAACTGCAAATAACAATTATCTTTAGTTGATTGTACTGAATTTTCTGCACCAGATTTATCCAGGAACTAAAATAGAGTTTTGTCAATTGTTGTTGGGACTTAGGAGTGGCATAAATCATAATATAATTAACTTGTGAAATGGACTTCCTCTTTGTTTACACTTTTCACAACTACACAGAGACTAAAACAACTACTTGTATGTTAATCAAACTCTGAACTCTAATCCTTTTTATTTTTTTCATCCTCCAATAATAAAAATGATAGTAAATTAATTTAATTTTTTTATTTTTTATTTTTTGAAAAAAGGCTTTTTCTTTTTTTGCTTTGAAATTGTGAAAAACACCGTTCAACCACAAAGACAGATCCATTTCATCAGATAAAGGCATACATAGTTTGTATATTTGATATATCAGTCCATGTGGAAAAATGATTTATTTTGGAAATTTCCAATATTACCCGATGACGATTATACCCTCATAACAAACAATAAATTACGGTATAAAATGGGGTGAGAGATTTTAGGTCATGTCAACAAACACTTCCACTGAAATGAATAAATAAGAATCCAGTTTTCTAAATAAAATAAAAATAAATAAAGGGCCAGCCTTTGTATAATGTTTTAGCTTTGAAACTCACTCACATGCTTCTGTTGTATGACTGAAATCAAGTCAGCTCACCAAGTACATGAAAAAGAAAATCTGAATTCAAAGCAAACCCTTACTCTTCTGATGTTATGCCACGATCACCATACACGTGTCAGTTAACATACCCCTATACCCACAGTCAAGACTTTTCTGCCCAATGAGATATTTTTTATTAGAATACTCACAGTCTCACAGTGAGGACTCAAGCAATGATCTTTAGTTTTTACCCTACAATAACACCTTTTCTAACTCTAATGCTAGAAGTAGAACCACCCTTCGTAGACACACCAAAGCGGGAAAAAGTAATCTTCGTAACACTTTTTCTCTTCCTCAGCCTTGCCTTCTCTGTTCCATGGCTTAAACTCTTAAAAACCCATTGTGTCTTTGCTGATTGTTCCCTTTTAACTTGCACCATATTATCTGATCTGGGTTTTCTTTATTTCTCATTCAGATCATAGTTTTCCAAGAAAAAGAAAGCTTTCTTTTCTTCTTTGTTTGCTTCAGTAACCTTCGAAAGAAATAAAGACCCGGCTTTACTTTCCCCCTTTTGCTTGTAGTAACTTCTTGTATTGGTATAATGAGATTCTGAAACATGAGATTTTGTTTCAAGGAGGCAGAATATTGATGTATGTTAAAAGATCAGCTTCATTTTTCTTGTTTTTTTCTTTTTTTTTTATGGTAACGGAGTTATCTATAGAAAAGAGAGAGAGAGAGAGAGAGAGAAAAGTCATGTAAATGTTTCTTTCATTTTGTATTGATTTATCATTTATGAGGAGTTAATGCTGGTTTTTTGGTGATGAAGATATGTATATTGTTATTTTGAGTCATAGATTTTGTATCTTTTAGGAATTCAGATAGGAAAAACTTTTGCTGTTCTTGACCTTGGATTAATATATTGAAGATTGTGCATGTTTATATCGGAAGGTAAATGACATGAAAAGGTTATGGATTTTGTATTGATTTGGTTTTTTTTGGGGGGGGATTTCTTTATTCTCTCTAGGTTGCTCAAACTTGGAGATTGCGGTTGTTTGGTCTTGGAGTTTGTTCTTGTGAACTTTTTAGGTTAAATTTAGTTCGAAATTAGGTTGATTTTTCTTGAATCCTATTATTCGAATTATTCTATTTCTATCCAATGATTATTGTCTCTATGAAATCTCTTTGATTTATTCTCACAAGAAAAGGCAGTTCTTATTACTTACAATGGGGAAACCTGCAGTTGGATGAACCAAATAAGAACATCTGTTTTGGTTTAGGTGTTTTTACAAGGTCTTTTTAGGAGAGTAAACATTTAGTATATTTGACTATTTGTATATGTGTGGTGTATACTTGCTATTTCTTTTGTTAGATTTTTCGCATTGAAATAAGATAGGAATGGGGTGAGTGTTTTTGTTGTAATGATTGAATGGCTGCATGGATGGTCTTCATTTATTTAGCATTGCCTCTTGTTTCCAGACCTTGCCAATTATATGGATGTTATGGTATGTAATTTGCTTAGTTTTTAACTGGATTTCGAAAACGGAGTGTGCTATTTCCATTTTGTGTCACTTGTTAAGCTCTGTTCTTGGTATTTTCATATTTAATTTTTTGCAATGAATCCATCTTTTTGTCTTTGCAGAAACCTTCTTTGGTTGTTTGAAAACTTTAACAATGAGAAGAGGTAGAGGAAAAGCAAAGAAGCAGAATGTCGTCTCTTCTCTTGATGATCTGGGAAGCGGTGAGGATGAAAAAATTCCGGCTTATAAGAGAAGAGGAAGGTCACAAAAGCAGAAGGACGATTTCGATGACGATGGAGTGGAGAAGACTGAAGAAGATGGTGAAGACTTAAAAGGTTCAGTTCTTGCCAATGAGATGAAAAATCAGGCTGCCACGGAGAATGGAGGGAAGAGGAAAAGGTCAATGCAAGCAAAAGAAAACATAGATTCAATCAAGAAAGGAAATGGTGTTACAACAAAGTTGAGCACTGGTGACTCAACTAAACCAGTCGGATACCGGCAATACGGTAGCAGGCGCAAAAGCAAGCCTCGACGTGCTGCTGAAGCTGTTGTTGAGTGCAAGTGAGGTTCCAGATTCACTGTGGATTTTGTCTTCTTTCTTATACCAGAAAAAAAGATCATTCCACAAGCAATGCTGGCCTGTGCGTGTATGAAATCAAATGTTTCTTTTTGTTGCTCGTTATTTGTTTTTGCAGTTTTCGTGTTCCATTTCCCTAACAGTTAATTTTGGTTTCGAGCTATTTCGATAAGTAATGCATGTAATATTCTACGGAGTCATCAAAAATTGAAAGGAAAAAAAACATTTTTCTAGTGATTTTTACCATGAGAAATCTTGTTATTTAGTGGATCTGCATCTGGGAGCAACCTTTTTGTTTATCTAGCTGCATATTTTCTTTCATGAGACCAAGTGTACTTTACTTGGAAAACCGACCAAGAATGAGTGCTTTCGGTGTTGTAGAAAGAAGATGGAAGTCTTTGAGCTGAAAAACCGACCAAGAAATGTGCGTGTATATGCTGATGGACTGAAGCATTGAGCCGGGTGGCTTGTCCAAAAGGAGTGGCGAAATCTTTGTGATGCCTAAATGGTGAAATGAGGTAAAGTTGATTTCTTTCGTTTGCTTCTATAAACAAGTTTTCTGGTATGTTTTAGCAGTCATGTTTTGATGAAACGGCATACCCCCATTGCATATGGAAATATACTCTTTATTGGCAGAGTCATCTTTGGTTAATTTACTTCAGTTGAGGAAATGGCAGATTGATTGAAACTTTATAGTAGACAAAACCTGATCTCTGATGAAAGATCTATAACATTCAACCTGTGTTGAAGAAGGTGAAATTTGTTGGTGAAATTACATTTGTTGTGCTTTAAGGTTTGAGATGGGTTTCTTCTTCGTGTTCGAGCACATATTCATCAAGGTGGTTTCGGGTTCAAGCACAATATTTATAGGGGTGTTTAAGCATTCGTTACCTGATGATTAAAAATCTTTTAAATAGATATTATCTTGTAATATTTTAAACTAATTAAGAAAATGTTGCCCTCTCAACAGCAGTGAAATGGACAATTCAAGTAGTACATTTTTTTAAATCTATTTTACTTGTCCAAATGGAAAACATTAAAAAGATGAAATAATATCTAGGCTATCATAATTAAAGTACAACGAAGAAACTAACCTAGTGGTGTGATGAGCGAGTGCATGGGTAGCTTGATTCGTTATACGTCGGACATAGGCAATCAAAACATGGGCATGGAAATCGAGAAGACAGTTTGCCTTAACAAGATGAAATGAAGCAACGGATAGATCAATCCGACGGTGAAAGAGTTTACGCACAAGGTTTAAAGAATCACTCTCCACAAACCAACTGGCGGACTTGAAGGGAACAAGCAAGATGAAGACCTGCAATGGTCGCAGACGCTTCAACCACTGCAGCATCACCACGCCCATACAATAGAATGGCTTGGCCTGCTACCACCATATCAAGATTATCTCGAACAAGAACCTCAACTCCAGCTTGTGTAAGGTGACCGGCCACCGCATCGTCTTCATTGATTATAAGAGATCATGTTGGAGGTTTACACCACTTATGCATGGGGGGGCAGGCAAGGACGACGTATGGACAGTTACCGCTAGGTGCGCTATCTGTAGGGACTGAGATTCCATCAGAATATTCCAACCTAGAAGTAGTTGACCCTCATGCACAGAGATATTCCTGTTGAACCTATTTTTATATAACAATTTAAAGCAAAATATTTTTTTGGTATTAATAGAATTTGTTAAAAGTTTTTAAAAATAATTTAAAGTACATAAAACTTGAATTTGAACACAAAGCAGTTGGATAAGTAGTACTAATATTGCTCTTACAATATCGATACTGCATAAACAGTATTGATATTGTTCTTGCAGTATCGATGCCAAAGATAAGAGAAGTATTGATACTCTCATGATACCGATACTACTTATTGTTTTTCAAAGTGTTCAAATTCCAGAATGTAAAATTGGTACTGATATTCTAGGAGTACTGATACTACTTTACATAGTAGTATCGATACCATGAAACTCGAGTATCGATATTAGTTAATCCTAACGATCGATAACGGATAGTTTATTTAAATATTATAAAGGAAGTATCATACTCCAAGCCCGAGTAACGATACTCCCTGTTCTAGGTTGTTTTATTTTGTAGAAATTTAATCTTCAACGACTCCAAAACATCTCAAATTATTAGAAACGGTCACAAACCCATTCCAACATATAAAAATAAGTCAATGACACTTGAATAAGGTTACAATTCCTATCCAAACAATCAAAATCAAGAGCAAAGCTTTTTCACTCTTTATTCTTTCTTTTCTCTTGTACATAGTGTTTTTGTGAGCTTAAACTTGTAAACACCTACCTTTGTCAGATTTTTTTTGTTTATATTATTTTATCCTTTGTAAAAGGGGAGTGGTTCTATCTTAGCTTTTGAAAAGATAGAAATTTCTAAATGTTACTCTTGAGCGTAGAAAAAGAAAGAACAAATTAGTGAATTTGTTAGAAATCCTTAGTGTGGAGCTAAGGTAGTGAAAGAAGACTTGGTTTAGAAGTCGAACCACTATAAATCATTATGAAAATATCTCTATCTTTCTTTTCTCCATACCCAAGTTTTCTAAAGACCAATTCACCTCTCTAGGCAACTTTTTCTGTTGATCATTAGAGCCTACCGAAATCTCATGTTGACAACGTCATCGTTTTGATTGCCAAATAAAATATGCCTTAATCTCAAAATAAAATCAAATAAAGAATTGTATAGAGAGAGTAAGGGTTGATCCGTAGAGAATATGGAATTACTGATGAAATGATTCTTGTTCCAAGGCTAGGTGTGATCTACAAAATAAAATAAAAAAGGGAGTTTTGTTCGATTGAAACTAAAGGAAATAAAATTGAAAAGTAGTAAAGTTGAATTGAAATTCTAATTATAAAAATCAGCCTTCTGCTTTCGCTTTGCCTCAAATTCGTCGATCATCGAAATAGATTTTTCACTTCGGATTCATGTTGATTACACTCTATAGGGTCCGACCCCTATAACTTGTTTTTCTCTCAATTGAACTGACAATCCAAAACAATCTTTGATTGTAAGTCCTTATGTGGACTACTCGCGACAATCGTTATTAGTGCCACTCAATTTTAAAGCTTTGGAAAAACCCGACTCGGATAGTGTCTCGGTGAGAATCGAATCTGATCTCAGTTCCCAATAGTGGACCGCTGTTAAGTGTGTTCCCAGCAAGTCGAATGTGCTACAAGCCGATCCTTCCTCCCAATTGTCAATCGAAAGCACTATCAATCCAACATGCACTTTTTGAAAATAAAATGTTTTTTATTTTAAAAAGATGGTTGATTACAAATCCTTGATTCCAAAAAACTGAGAATGTAACTCGAAGGGTATTACGTGCTTTTCAATTCTCACGATTGGAATTGAGTCATCACTTCAACCTTTGGCTATGAAAAACTTAGCTAAGTATGATAGAATCATACTTAGCATTTTAAAAGAAAAATAAGTAAAAGTGAAAAAGTAAAAACGAAAGAGAAAAGTAAAAACTTTTATAAAACAAGAGCAAGAAAAACAAGAGAATTTGAGATGTCAATGATCATTTAAGGCTTACCCAAGGGGAGTATTTATAGTCCTCAAAAGCCCTAAAAATCCTAAGAGATAATTCAAAGATAATTCCTAAAATTACAAAAGATAATTTCAAAGGATAATTCTCATAATTATTTGAAATAAATCCCAAAAATAAAGATAAATCCTAAATTTGTGTTTGGATTTGCGGCTGAGTCTTCTGACTTTACGAAAATGCTGACTGGACCTTCTAGAAGATGTTGATTTGTTACCACATCAGCGAAGTCATATCCCAAGTCATGCCCATTTGTCCAGCCATGATTCCAGAAAAATAAAAACTTGCAGAAATCGTCCTTTTAGCTTAGTTTCTGGAATCCAATGTCCTAAACAAAAAATAACATAAATCGCCCAACTTAGCAACATAAATTGAAAAATAAAGGAGTAATTAATGATTAAATTAAGCACTCATCAAATTCCCCCTCACTTATTCAATACTTGCCCTCAAGCATTTCTCAATCAATGAATCAAAGTCCTTAAGTTGTCATCTCAATTTTACAAAATTCCCAAGACTTCCAAGTGAATTTAAATCAAGCAAGTGATGAAATCCAAGAGTAATCAAGCAATGGCACAATTAAAAGCAAGTTTAAGCAAAGAAATTTTAAGCAAAGCATGACATTTCAATTATTCGTTAATCTCAAAGAAGTAAGACTTAGTACCTCACTGTGGTTCACCCATTTCGCTCAAGTGTTTCAGGTAAAAGAATCGCTCAAGCGCAACTAATCAAAGCATTATCATAGGCTTGTGACTAAATCTAATCTCCACCTCTAAGTATGAACATGATGCAAAAGTCAAGAGGTCTTTGAAAAGGGATGTAATGGGGCTAAGGTTCAGGTAGGATAATGGCAATAAATTGGGTGAAAATTTCAAGACAAAGAGAAGATCATTCCAAAGATTTATTCAAAATAAGGTAAAAATCAAAGAAAGGGAAACAAGAAATCGAACAATCAAGCTTTATTCACTCTCTTTTTTGTTGTTCGATTTTTTTTTTTTTGCACTACATTTTTTTCTTTTATGTACTTTTTTCTGCTCATTCGAATCAAAATTGCATTGTTCAATTTTTTTCTCTAAATTTATGCATTGTTCGAACCAAACTGCACTGAATTTTTTCTACTGTTTGAACAGTGTAACTTTCTAGACTGATTTGTTCGATCCTGCACTATTTCGAACAATTTTTTTTTGATTTGGAACAACTTCACCTTTTTCCTAAAAAAAGGGTGACAAAAAGAGGGAAAACAAAAATAGGCTCTGGTTTAAAAGTGTTGTGAACAAAGAAAGGGATAGGCTCAAAATTGGCTAACTAAGCGGTAAAATAAATAAAAGGTATGCCATTTTTTTTGGAAGAGAAAGGGGTTAAATCCTAATGCTTCTATCATACTAAAACATCACATTCAATCGTGTAATCTCGACAAACATTATGCCACAAGTTCTAGAATGCAATTAATTAGTCGGTACACTCAAATAAAACAAAGAGCAATAATAAAAATATATGCTCATTAGGTTCAAAACTCACATGAAAGGTTAATTGCACTAAGTCATGCTATCAATTCAACCAACAAATGCATGGAATGCCAAAAAAAAAATTAAAGAAAATCCAATTAATCATGTCAATTGTTATCATGCTTCCTAAATTCCAACAAAAACAAGATTGAAACTCACAAAAAAAATCAAGGAAATCATG